TATGAGCGAAATATTCTCAAGCACGACGTTAAACCCAACATTTTTGGTCATTATGTCACAATCTGTTCTGTTAATCTAGTGTTATATATACTCTTAAAAAACAACAACTTGACATGCTGGTTTGGAGTTTACTGAGTGCATATAACTGATTCTAACATTGCTAGGTTACAGTAAAATCATCACTTTACAAATTCCAAAACATGATTATCCAGAAAGTGTTTGGTAAAACCACAGAGGGCTATTAAAGCCACTTGGTCAGAGTAAAATGTCAGTATCTGGTGTGACCACCATGAGCATCGATAACAGCTTGGCAGCGGTGACCCATAGAAGAAAGGAGATGCCGAATGCTGTCTTGAGGAATGTTTTGATGGATTACATAGATGTTCAATGGGCACAGGCGGAACCAGAGAGAGAGAGAGAGAGAGAGAGAGAGAGAGAGAGAGAGAGAGAGAGAGAGTGGTGCATGGGGGCGCAACCCACCTTTGTCCGGAAAGTTTATTAAATGACCATTGTAACTCGTGTGAAAATGAAGTGTGCAACCATCCTTCTCAATTGTCATGCTCCAAAGATGCACCACTACTAACTACTACACCACGGAGGCGGTAATATGTGATTGATTGAGTTTAGTTTTACGCCACACTCAGCAATATTCCAGCTATATGGTGGCGGTCTGTAAATAATCGAGTCTGGACCAGACAATCCAGTGATCAACAGCATGAGCATCGATCTGCGCAACTGGAAACCGATGACATGTGTCAACCAAGTCAGTGAGCCTGACCACCCGATCCCGTTAGTCGCCTCTTATACGACAAGCATAGTCGCCTTTTATGGGCAAGCATGGGTTGCTGAAGACCTATTCTACCCCGGATCTTCACGGGTCTGTAATAGTAATGCCATCATAGAGTGAATGTAACATAAATATTACAACTTGCCTGCTACCAATGGAACATGATAGTCACAACATAATCTGTACATATCGCACATCAGTAATGTCAAGACATGGTCAAAAACAGTGCATAGCCCTGACACGATCAACTCCAAGTAGTGAGTGAGTGAGTTTATATTTACGCCGCTTTTAGCAATATTCCAGCATTGACACGGCGGGGGGCACCAGAAATGGGCTTCACACACAAGTTGGAAGATCAAAGCTCTGTATTAACTATTTTTACATTTTACAGATGTATTAAATATTGGACAAGGCTTATAAACATGGAAACTAATCGCTTTCCAAAGGCATGTTATTTAATGCTTAAGTCATATGACGACCATGGCGGTGTCAACTGGGTGTCACGTGTTCGTACCTTGTTAATGGAGACTGGTTTTTCATATGTATGGATCTCCCAAGATTGTGGAGGTATAACACGTTTTATGTAATGTTTTAAACAGAGATGTAAAGATATTCAGTTTCAAATATGGCAAAGTAAATTAAGCTCATCACCATTTCTGCATAATTATTGTGCTTACACGACTGTTCTTGAACCAGAGCTGTACATTTTGAAACTAACTCCGAAAAGAGACCTACTACGTATTCTGTGTAAGTTTAGATGCACGAGCCATAAACTTAATGTACAACAATATCGATATGATAAAAATGTACATACTGAATTACTGGAGTGTGCAAGATGTAATTATAATGTCATCCAAGATGAATTTCACTTTTTATTGGTTTGTCCATACCATGATGAGAGCAGGAAACTGTTGTTACCAAGTAACTTTTATACCTATCACACACATGAAAAGTTTAATTTGTTAATGTCTTCGCAAAATCTAGAATGCTTAAAAAATCTTGCAATCTTTTTTAAACGAAATCTACCAATTTAATTTGTATTACATGTAAATAATCACTTCGATATCCATGCGCACTGAAATTATGTATATACACTTCTGTACTTTGGCCACGAGGCCTTGAATACGAATAAACTTCTTCTTCACACATCGTTTTGATCGTACCCATGTGGGGAATCGAACCCGGATCTCGAGCATGACGAGCGCACGCTTTAACCATTAGGCTACCCCACTGCTTGTAAATACCACTGGAAGTGCATGGTAATTGAGGCTGGTTAGGTTTAATGTGTAGGCTGATTACATAACACGCACTTGACTGCGAATTCACAAGCGTCAATTATGTATACATGATACGTTTTTATGGGTAACAACTTCTTTTATTCTTTTTAACGACGCCAAAAATTATAGATGTGCAAAGTTGTTAAAAATATAAAAGAGGATATTATCCATAAATATGTGTCATGCATTAATGGTCTTCCAACTTCTAAGTGCCTATGAAAGACTTCAAAGGACAATTAGGCAGGTTAATTACAGGTGCGATTGGTTCAAGTTAACGTGCATATACACACGCTATGAGACGGAACGTTGTGATACAAGACTTGTCGAACAAATGAGATCCGGTGCTTAGGAGATCGCCAAGATCAACCACTGTCGCAATAGTCTGTCTTGCAGTACTTGAACCACAATATGCCATTTCCATGTTCAGCAGATCAAAGACGTATTTTATAACGTCATTGAGCAGATCTATAATTCTCCCTCGCTCCCTCACCCACCCCGTCAAGGAAAGACAGCAATGTTGGACTTGTATACGTACTTGCAGTTTTCGAAATTCTACACTGGAATATAACTGGAATACTATTGAAGGCGCCTTGTAAAATCTCTGTCTATTAGTGTCTAACCATGGAGAATAGAAGACGGGGTGCTGTAGATAACCTCTTCCCAGCAGGGATAATCTACAACGGGGATAGGTCACTCGCTTACTTTCTTTACCATTTGAACTAATTAGCGTGCGCCTCGTCATGCCCGAACGTGACTTGGTTCGTTCCCAGCGCAACTTCGGCTGCGTTTAACAGTACTTCAGCCAGTTTATTGTATCAGTCGGAATTTTACAATGAATGAATGAATGAATTAAGAGCAAGAGTTATATGTGAATGAATGAAATAAATAAAGAAAAAGAACAAGACAAAGAAATACATATGTGAATGAATGAAAGAATAAATGATGCACCACGGCCATCCCTCCCCAAACATGTTAAAGAACGCAAAACTATCGCTGGAACACATGTGTTAACATCAGCTGTCCTTTTAAAAAATCTACGTTGAGACATTTGTTTACATTAGTACTTAATTCAGATATCTTATTGCATGTGTCGAATGGCATGGACATTGACAGAATGTTAAATGACACTGTCACACACCCCTCAAAAACAGAAAGTTTAGAACTATCACAAAGCGTTGTAAACACCTTTCCAGTTTTGTCAAATACTAAGATCAACAAGAAAGAAAGCAGTTTTAGAACTATAACACTCAAGCATCACAAGCGTCAATGGCGGATCAGGACCACGATCCACAAAGCGTTCGTAACGTTACGACTTGTCGTAGCTCTATAGTTTATCATAGGTTTACGAATGTCGTAGCGCTACGAACTCTTTGTGGATCGGGGCCCAGAACAGATCGGCGATATGTCATATTTTTCACACACCTCAAATACACCCTAACAATTTTTTTTAAATTATAAAACTATCACTATTACTTGCAAACACCTTTCACCTGATGGTATATTCCCCTCATAAAAATTAATGGTGTATGTGAAAGATGTTTTAGAACAATAACTAGAAACACTCAAACAACGCCCTGTAGTATTTCAATGGCAGATCGGCGATATGTCATATTTTTCACACACCTCAAATACACCCTAACAAATTTTTTTAGTTATAAAACTATCACTATTACTTGTAAACACCTTTCAGCTAAAGGTATATTTCCCTTCTAAAAATTAAACGAATATGTGAAAGAAGTTTTTAGCTAGAGAATTTAGAGAATTCTTTCTTCGCTGTGTACCAAGAACTGAAGCCAGTGAGCTACAACATACCGACTTGAAACTTTACTACAAATCTACTGTACTAATACTGACACTAATAACAATTATTTGACTTAATAGTCGACGTATCTTCTACATGTAGGTTTTCAGTTGTCACAACACTCAGCGAATGTAATCAGCTGTTGAAAATAAACCAAGCTCAATATATTGGCTACACTGGTCACGTGACGAGCCGAGGCATACGCGATATCTAGTCTCCCTGTTGCGCATATTAAGTGTTCATAAGACCAGCTGTGTAGGAAAGTTCTCCTCAGGCAAGTGTTATGTTACTTTACATTTTCAATACGCCCTGGTAATGATGTGTAAAGATTTCTGTGGTCTTGGAACAGGGCTTGAAAGTGTCAAGAAGTGGCGTTTCGTTTGCTCTTCCTCGAAAACATTTCATTCTGGTGTTTCCTAAATATTTATCATTCTCAAGAATGGTAACATGTCCTACACATGGAGTCCACCAGACACATACATGACACGGGTTTTTTTATGGATCCCTGCTGAGATTTAAAAAATGAAAGTATACCTAGAGCAATTATCGTCATCATAACTCAGCATTTACCTGATGACGGACCAAGAATTAGCTCTGAAACCAGAGACCATATAATATAATCTGTTATATGGTCTCTGCTGAAACGTCGTATACAAAATAAAAAGAAGTTGTTATCCATAAAACGTGTCATGTATTCATGTTCGTCCAACTTCTAAATGCCTTTGAAGAACTTAATTCAGACTTTTTTTAAAGTTCCATAGATCTCTAGGTCTCCTGTTTTGATTTGATGAAGCGCAAGGATAGAACCCGGGTCTTCAGGGTGGATCGGACCAGGGTCCCGTTCCTCAAAGCGATCGTAGCGCAAAGTTGATCGTAACTCCCATACTTTAACATAGGCTTACGACTATCGTAGCGCTACGATCGCTTTGAGGAACGGGGCCCAGGGATACTCTACTACTTATATTGTCTCCCTGATCGGATAAAGATATCGAGTGGGCGCATTCAGAATTAAAAGCTTAACGCAACAATTTTAAGTCATTGTTGATTGGAAAATGTGTAATGAGGCCTTATTAGGTAACGTCCGATTTTTTACAATTGTTGTTCTTGCCCGTTATTTATCAAACTAGAGCTAACAGCGCATGCGCACATATCTGTCTGCTCGCATTTCCTTTGAGAAAACCAAAATGTGAAACGGCTATTTCCAAAAATGTAGGTAAAATACTCCGATCTGTAACTTACGTGAGGTCTGCTTTTGATATTTCTGTTGATATTTCTTTAAAACAGATAGATGATTAATTTTGTAATGTGCAATAATGCTTACATGTCGAATTGTTCAATTTTCGATCAACCGTTTTCCTTGAAAAAGTGTTGAATTTGTGCACTCTGCTTATATTTCGAGGCAGATAAGATCACATCAGAAGCCCGTCCATATGTGTTGTGAATTACATTACTCTATTTCACCAGTGGATTATTCGTTCACGGGTTACTGCGTGAGTAGCTGTTTCCAGAACACGAGGCTAACTGTCAGAATGTTTACCTAATTTGACTGGCCCCTGTATCACTCTCAACCCAGAAGACTCTCCAGCTGGCTAACCAGCTGACCTTGGAACGTGATTAAATGTACTCAGCAAATAATCTATCCAAACCATTCCTTTCAGAGGGATTGTGTAAGCATAATGAGTATACTGACAAGGGTGTATACTTATTAAACATGATACAGAACTAATCCAAATGTTGGACGAGTGGTAGTGAACAGACTTTGTTCAAACCTCAATGAAACCAAAACCTTTTCGATTTTACAAGTTACAAGGTGATTTGACACCATAGTATATGGAATTTCAATCTTTTAAGGAGATGCTTAACCCATACTACCTTCTAGAGGCAATAATTTCATGCTTTACAGAGTCATATCTAGAAATCAAGCTTGTTTGATGGAACTCTTTGGTATTTCAATCAAAATGTTTGTTATGTTTTCAACTGTTTCACATTAAGCTCTGTGCATATCAATAGAACCAGTTACATCTACAAAGTTTGCAGTTTAGCTAGGATGGCTGCTGCTTATCACAGTTATTGTTGTGCAGCCTCGAGTGGCACATATTGTAGTGTCCCTGTCCGAATGTAAAGTGCCTTGCTTTAGAGCGTTTCTATATATTGTATGTGTTCAATGTTTGTTTTTCGGCAGACTCAGCATGATGATGCACGAACACAGTAGACACTTGGCAGTCAGCCCTTAACACAGACAGCACTGGACATCACCAGCACCATGAAGGGGGCAGCCCTGTGCTACGTTGTGGTGTCACTCTGTACTGGTATCTGCTGTGGCCTCACTAACAGGAAAGGTGTGTTCTAGATAGTTGTTGTAGCTTCACTGTTAATGTATGTACACCAGGATCTGTCTAAACTGAGCATTGACTACACTGTATTTCTGTCAGTACTGGACATATATTATACTACACCAGGGATTTAGCTTGAGTCCTGTATTTGAGGGTCCCTGGGACTCATACTCTTAAATTTCAGGAGTCCTGGCTAGCTATTCTCGAAACGTTCGTAGCTCTAAGAACTTCTTAAGACCATTCTTAACACATTGGCTACGATCAAAGTTAAGAATTCTTAGGGCTACGAACGTTTGAGAATAAGGGCCCTGGACTACAAGATGGGGGTCCCAGACACTTAAATATTATTATTAATACTATGTAGTAATATTGTTGTAATTCAGTTACTGTTATTGTATTGTGCATCATTATCATCACACGGTTACATTAATTAAATTGCAAATGATATCATAACACGGCTAGTAGCAGACTCAGTGATAACTTATTGTTACTTGATTGAAATTTTTGCAAAAAGTATTTGGATTTTTTCTGCGTCCCTGTGGACGCGCTAATAAATCTTGTTGTGTCCATTGTCAAGTTTTATGCATATAGGACACATGAATTTGCGTCCCGTAAATCCCTGCTACACAAATTAACACCTTTGTGAAATCTGTGTTGTCCACATTTCTGTCATACTAGATTCTAATGATGGGAATTGGTTGTGATTTCATAATCGATCATCAGCTACAATCGGATTGGCCCAACCGATCAATCATCGATTAATAATCGATTAAATTAAATCACAAGAATACCCTCTAAATAATAAATATATTACACAAGGTCATGTGTTTGTTATTGTCTCAGACTTCTGAGGTAAGCAAGTACAGTTAAGAGACAGATGGTTGAACATGTAGAGGTACACAAAAGAAAAGAATTTTTTGTTCTTTTATGGTTTATTATTTACCATCAACAGCATCAATTACCAACCATTCAACAAACAACAGATCTTGTCAGATGTCATAAAAACACTATATGACTAAAATGCGCCTTGAAATGAAGTGTAGTTGACAGAAAATGGATGACGAGGCGGTAATCAGTTTGTGATTTTTGAGAATAATGTTAAAATTGGTGCTATCACGGTTGGAGTGAAAAGCGTACCCTCATGAACATGGTAAGCGGAAGTTGTATGTGCATGGAATGAGGTGAAATACACATGACAGTTTGTTGTGATCGCAAGCTCCAATAAATATGACATTTAGCAAAACAAAATATATGGATGTATCCATTTTCTGTCAACTACACTTCATTTCGAGTCGTGAGTAGACACAATATGATTGTGATTTCTGTGAATAATGCGGATAGAAGTTATAATTATAGGTAACTGCCAGTTGTCTTGTGGCCTGAGTTGGGTATTCATTACTTGTTTCGTAAATATTATTACCGACAATCGATTGTGAAATTTTGCAATCGATTGTCGCGTCTGGAAAGGGTAACCAATCAATTTTCGATTATAATCGATCATCGGAACACCACTACTAGATTCCTCGCTGAAGTTGTATAACAAAGGACCAATTTGTAATTGACACTTTCTATTACTGCTTATTATTATTTACAAACTGAGAAAGCCATGTGTTTCAGTGCAGAGACTGAGTAAACCTGTCAATATTTTTTATCAGAATAGGTCCCCGGGAACCTGTGCTTGTTGTACACAGCAGCTGAATGGATTGGGTGGTCAGAATTTGTGACTTGACTGATGACAGCATGGATCATTGCTCATTATATCAATCACTGGATTGTCTGGTCCATATACAGGCTGCATCATGTAGCTATAATATTGCTGAGTGCAGCAGTAAACAACCAACTTGGATGCAGTTTATGTTGCACAGCATGTTTTGTTTTGTTCCAGTTTACATTGAGGCTGACAAGAACTGCGGGCAGACCCACATGCTGGATTCAGGGGAGATAATAGTCATAGGTTCCCAGCGAGGTCCCTCGTCTGACCTGCAGGCTGAGTGTGAGATTGTTTTCACTTCCGCAAGCCCTGACGACCAGGATCGAGTGTGTATGGAGATTGAAGATCTCGACTTCCAGGGGAACTGCTATGCTTCTCTCACACTGTATGATGTTGCCACGGAGACTGCATCTCGGAAGAAGGAGTTGGGGTCCTTTAGTTGCCACAAGGCTCCACCCATGGAGGTGTGCTCAGTAGGGAGAACATTGAAGATGGATCTGAATCGAGGTTTTGTTTCGTACCAGAGAGACCTGGTGTTGTTCTTGTTACAGGTGTACACAAAGAATCCTGATGGTGAGTTCTGGCAGTATGTTTTATTTAAAGAACAAATAAACTTTGTTTTTTTGTACTCTTTTAACTATTACATATGAAAAATTTGTGGTTAGTCTTATGCGGAACACCAAATTCATTCTTAAAAAACTTGTGGTTAATTAATACGGAGCAATTAAAAGTTGCCAAAAAGTCGCCTGCTTCACTCTCGCCCGCCAACGAAACCACAGACAGGTTACGTAACTCTGTCGCCAGAGCACTGCAGTGACGTCATATGAGGAAGGATTTTCAGTTAGTTGTATAGAAAGTGTGTAGCAAGGTCGTCATTTCTCGACATCAACGAAGACATGCCGAATTGTTGCGTTGTCATCAATTGCTCCTAGGGGTCGGGCGAATGGTGTCACCATACACAGATTTCCACAGGACCCCGCAGTTCGTGCTAAATGGGTTATCTTTGTGAGTTCGAAGGGAGCGAACACAGAAATGGGATCAATTTGAATCAGTCATTATACCATCCAGGCATTAGAAAACCTGAAAAAGCCCACACTGCTTTGATACTTTATTACAATCAGACAAGAACTACCGGGGATATTTTCAAATAACTGCATCTGATGGGCATCCACCCTTCTTAATATCGCACTGTTTAGGTTGAAGAAATTAACCGTAACCTCGATGAGCGAGGCTGATCATCGTTTTCGCTATTACGAGCGTCTGGGTCGAACAAATAAGGCCTAGCGACACCAAGCGATTTTGACAGAATAGTCTATGAAAACAAGTTGTAACTCGGAAACTAGGCAAAGCAGGAGACATAATTAAATGACAGTAGATTGTGAGAACATGTAGCTTTCATTTTTCACAACAGTTGTCACGATTCAGGTTTATGCAAACCTGTAAACAAGATAATTTACCCCCTGAAATGTACATGAATTCTGCATCGGCCCTCATATCTATTCCTCATATGACGTCACAGAGATGCGCCACTCTGATTGGTTGAAATTTCGTTTCGCGGGTGAGAATTGTGCACTGTTGTCAAAAGGTCGATTTAAGTTAATTAAAGATCGAAATGAGTAGTTTTAATGACCGGGTGTCATTTATAACGATACCAATTAGTGATTTATGTATTTGTACCCCCCTAGAGTATATGTGATCTTTAACGGATGCAGTTGAATGTATTGGGAAACATTAGGTATAAAATAATCTATCATGTCTTTTAGCAGCATTTAGGAGTTGTATATAGATGGTATATAGTTGGTGAGTTCAGCTGATGAAGGGATCTGTAATGGTCCCAAAACATTGTGAGGGAAATAAGAAAGAAGTTTAATCCATAAAAAATATCTTGGACATGAAATAATCTAGTTTCAAAGTAATTCCTGTCAGAAATTGTGTCTGCTAGTGGATCGTTTAGATTCATGTTGGTATGGCTAGAATGGGTCACTCATGTAAAATACATGCTGGAGACTAAAGCTGGATGCTAATATATGTATCTGATAGGGCTGCAGCCACTTTGAGGAGAATGTGATACAAATCACGAATGCTGGGTAATGAATAGGATATAGGCGAATACAATAACAAGTCAGTAGTCGAGGTAATATTCAGTATATTCAGTGAATAAGATACATTGTTTGACATGTTTGACCATGTTGACAGCATTAATTTGTCATGACATTGACCAATAGTAAATTGCATGCTACTATCACCTATATGACTTGAAAATTATGTGTAACACATATTTACTTGTGATGTTGGCACTATGTCTAATATGATGAGGTCTGTAGCCCCTCTAGAAGATCGCATCAAGGAGGTGCCCAGTGTATTCCACAACGTAGATGCCTACATCATCATCCTCATCGTCATCGCTGCTGTAGTTATCCTCATGCTCATAACTGTGATCGCCTTGGTCACATTCTATGTGCGCCGGAAATCCTCTAGAAGCTCAAGAAGGGGAGGCAACTCCACCAGCTCTGCCTTGCCTAAGACTCAGGCTGCCCACCCTTTGCAGACACCAGGTGGGTTGTTAGAGAATGTGTGACATGTTATCTGTTGTGTTACATGTGTGTCTGTGTAGATGATCAAGCAAAAAATTTAGATTCTGGGGTTAAAAGAGATGTTTTCAAAAAAACTTTCTTGTACAATTTACAGAAGACTAGGAGTTGTTTTAGTCTTGGCTTATCATGATTATTGATAAATGTTTGGATAAAGAAAAGCCATATCTAAATACAATTATGAATAAGAAAACTTCAAAAAAATGGGTGGACATTGTAATTTGTATCTTTAATAACATCCATAGATCAAGTAGATTTCAACAGCATGCTTTCACCCAGGGTCCATTTCAGAACTTTCCCCTTTAATGAAACTTGGTTTAGTCGTGCTAGATACAGACACTTTACTGAATAGAGGGAAATCTACTTAACTTAGTGAACTTTACAACTTTGAATTTGCCTGTGGAATAACTACAGTAAACATACCTCTTTGCTGCTGTAAATTGTAGTTGCTCAAAAGGCTACAAAACGATTTGAAGGCAATTGTCTGAGAAAGTTAATCAATTTGCATTTGAAGCTAGATCATGCCTCATGCATTTTTGGACAGTCTGTTGCAATATCAAAATCGTTTTTCGGGAGCAGTATTATGATAAGGGTCTTGGGTCCAAGTGATGGTTCCGTGAAACCCCTTATCTAACTGGCGTGCTGGTCTGCATGGGGAATTAACTCAGCAAAGAGTCCGAAGTCACAAGGAGCTAATCACAATTTTATTTACAAGAGCGGAATAACATGGGATGGCCACAGAGAGTCGGTACAACCCTCTGGGCTGAGGGCTAGAGCTGACCTGTGTTGGGAGTCTAAACCCTACTGACAAACGAATGGAGATAGTGACTATTTATCTAGAATTGAAACAAGCAAGAGATTATGATTCGTTGACTGATACAAAAATGGGTGTAACCTACAACAACCAATGATGGACAATAGTATAAACTTAGTTGATGGACAATGGTATAAACTTAGTTGATGGACAATGGTATAAACTTAGTTGATGGACAATGGTATAAACTTAGTTGATGGACAATGGTATAAACTTAGTTGATGGACAATGGTATAAACTTAGTTGATGGACAATGGTATAAACTTAGTTGATGGACAATGGTATAAACTTAGTTGATGGACAATGGATAAACAAGTTGATGGACAATGGTATAAACTAAGTTGATGGACAATGGTATAAACTTAGTTGATGGACAATGGTATAAACTTAGTTGATGGACAATGGTATAAACTTAGTTGATGGACAATGGTATAAACTAAGTTGATGGACAATGGTATAAACTTAGTTGATGGACAATGGTATAAACTTAGTTGATGGACAATGGTATAAACTTAGTTGATGGACAATGGTATAAACTTAGTTGATGGACAATGGTATAAACTTAGTTGATGGACAATGGTATAAACTTAGTTGATGGACAATGGTATAAACTTAGTTGATGGACAATGGTATAAACTTAGTTGATGGACAATGGTATAAACTTAGTTGATGGACAATGGTAGAATAGTTAAATGGTAATTAGATTGTCTCTTTGGTATTGGGCCGATTTCTGGTGTCCCCCGCCGTGATGTTGCTGGAATATTGCTAAAAGCGGCGTAAAACCAAACTCAGTCAATCAGTCAGTCTTTGGTATTGGGGAACAAGTTCCTTCTGGGTGTCTGGATGTGGAATCTGGCTTGTCTTGGCTCTGTGTTCTGGTTCTTGAAGTTTCCAGGAGGCCTTGTGATGGTTCCACATCCTGATTTTGGAGTCAACTTGTCCATATCCCATGCAGACAGATGATTTGTATGAAAATACAAAACAAATGAGAGTTAGCTTGTGGCAAATTATATTTATAAGAATTCTGATATTTTCCTGTTTTGTACGGGATACATACAAAATGTACATGAAGTAAGTTTATAATACAATACCCTGCAAATAAATTGTCTGTTAGTGCATTTGTATAAGGTGAAGTAAGTATCTCCTGTCAGGATAGAAATGTTATGTATAAGCAAATATATATATATACATGTGCTTGTGCTTTTAACAAGTGCATTGGTTTTGACCCCATACATATACATATTTTGTTTTGAACCATTTGTTAGGTACCTTGTTAATTTGGCTGAATTTGTTAGTTTCAACATTTTAAACATCTTAATTGTTTAGGGATTTTTGTGTAATTTAATTATATTTTAGCTTTGGTTTATTTTGATTTATTAGTTTACTTCACTCAAATTTTGGTTCATTTCGCTTCAGCTCAGCCTGTACGTTTGGCTGAGGTTCGGTTTGTTCATTCCGCTTCTTGACGGTATAATTTGCTCCCTTTTCACGCCGATTAAGTTTGTTTTGCTTCGCTACGATTTATTTTGTTAAGTTTGTTCCGTACGGTGTATTTCGGTTTCGTTTCGTTTCGCGTTGGGTAAGTTCACTTTGCTTTTGAGATTGGTTGATCAGGTCAATGCTCAAAAGTTGTTGTGATGCAAATAACTCAGATAATCAGGTTGATGCCATTTGTTCACAACTAGTGTCATCAGGTAACACAATGTGAAATGACTTGACACAAATATACACACCCTTGAAGTTAACGGTGCCGTAGTTGTCAACGCGTTCATATGGTCAATTAGCTTTCAATCAAGATAACATGCACGTTGAAAAAGAAGATCCTGTATTTTTCGCAGGAATATTGATATGTCGCGACCAGATGTTCATGTTGTGCACATTCCATGGAATGGTTGACAGATTCTGTCATCTGGTGTTGAAGAGAAGTAGAGAAAATCCACGCTCATAATGTAATTTCCGTGGTCAATTGGGTCTTTGCAGGGGTGGTATGATTCAACAATCTGGCTGGATCGAAAAATTGGAAAGTCATCTTTTTGATAATGTTCTTCCGGGGTGGCAGTTTTAAGCATATCTTTGACATCTCCAAAGCTCTGACTGAGGTAGACCTGTATGAGGTTGGGAGGAACAGATTCAAAATGAAATGTTTCGTAAGTATAATTGCTGTGGTCATTAATAGACTCATTACAAGTACAATAAATGTCGTCGTCAATACAGACCGTGACATGGCACTCTCCTTGAACTATTTAAATGGCCATAACTTCCTTTATTGAATATTATTTTGCGTGTGTGTTTTGGGACAATTGGATATGGTTCAATATTCAATACTGGGTCTGTTATCGCTGATTGCTGTTTAAAATTCTTTCTCAGAACATTGACTGATGGATTGTTCTGTGCTGATTGGTTGAAGAACTTGTGATTCTTCAGTGGCCGTTTTCATTGTTTTCCTGACATATTTCTCTTGACATGAAATTCTCTCCAAATCTGGTCTGGTATGCTGCTGCCGTATTCCCATGTGTTTCTTCTTTCTGGATCCTTCCATTTCACCCTGTAGTAGATTTTGTTGTTTGCTCTCTTGGAAGCAAGAATTGAATGAATGTCATCAGGATTGAAAACCTTGGCATCATTGCTGATGGCTAGAGCTGACCTGTGTTGGGAGTCTAAACCCTACTGACAAGCGAATGGAGATTTATTTATCTAGAATTGAAACAAGCAAGAGATTATGATTCGTTGACTGATACAAAAATGGGTGTAACCTACAATAACCAATGAAATACAGAATATAACAAAATGGGGTGTGTCCTACAAAAACAACTTCATTGACCAGACAGCGGGAGTACTAAATCCTATTTCAACTGGCACTAATCTCGTTGGCACTTTTACTGGATGCTTGGATGCTTACCCTGGGCTAGATCTTAACGAGCCTAAGTTGATGTGTCAATTAAAGGTGCTTGGATTACAATAGATGTGTTTAATCTGGGCTATGTCTTAATGACCCAAAATTGGTGTTTGCTTAATGTTATTGTAATATGGGCGATGACATGTTTTCTTTATCAAAGCAGTTTATTAAAACGTCTAGACATAACTTTGTGTTACTAACAGCTTGAGTCTTTGATACCTTAGGCTAGGATTTTATCTTGAACATCTGTGAAATTGTGCAGCCGTAATTTACACCTTTTTTCAATTGTATGTCTGTGAGATGAGTTTTACTACTTTTGACTTAAAACTGATACATGATGAAACTAATATTCTATATATTTTCCTAATATCTGAATCCTAATTTATTGCTTGTAGTGGTACTAATTAATAATGAATTTTGTATGAATAATTATTCCATGATAGCAGCATGGTGAAACAGCTACCTGAAGGAAGCCTGTATTGTACTGAATGTACCGGTATCTTACAAGCTATGTCCAGATGTCTCCTCCAAAAACAAACCTTCTGAACAAATATCTGCTTTCAGCTCCAAGACAGGAACTGAAGCCAAGTCGGGTTGGATCCCAGGAGTACTACCCGCTACGCCCAATACCTCAGCGTCAGTATATCGGTCAGCACTTCCCTGCCTTCAGCTACCAATCCTACACTGACCAGTGCTGGCCCAACAAGGACGAGGGATACCCCAGCTCGGGGCTGACGGCCAGTGCGGCAGGAACCCAGTCTACCCCCGTGTCCTCCTACTACCAGACCTACTCCCTCCAGGAGCACCCCCAGGCCTGCCACTGTTACAGCTACCCCAGCGAGAGTCTCCAGCCAGACAACTACCCCGCTGATGGCTACACCAGTGAGAGGTGCTCCGGGGGAGAACTATGAGAGGTACTCCGGGGAAGGTTACCATAGTGACAGTTATGTTACTGACAGGTACCCTGCTCAACATTACTCCTTGGAGAGATTCCCCCCACATGGTGTTCTACGAGGGTATACAGGGTATCCTGGCATCACCCACCCATTGATGCCAGGTCTGTGTTACAGCTCCAACCTGGGCTATCGGCCCGGGGAGGAAGACGCTGATCAGTCCGATGTCAGTGAAAATGAAGATGAGGCTGGTAAGGGGAAACAACTCTGTCAGGGCCTGGAAGGAAATGATGGGCTCTGTAAGTCTATTAATGGAAGAGAAGATGATAACAACCCAGAATACCAAGAAATTGGTCCACCACAGTTCAAACATGTGACATTCATGTGATACCTGAATTGTGAAGCTAATTGTTGTATGTTTGTTACTTTGAAGTGTGAGCTTTCATAGCATGTTGAAGACTCCGACATTGTTGGTTATGTAGATCAGAAGTGTGATTCTTTGACAATCTTGGATTAACTTCTACGCATGCTGTTTGTTCCCTGTTGATGTGAACTCGATGATGGGTCAGGGCTGTGAAGATATTTTTGTACCTGTAATGATGGGTGTATTGCAGCAGTGTTGTGGCTGTTTCTCGTCTCTATGGAGACGGTCATAGTAATGGATAGGGAAGTGGCACCATTATCGAGGGTCATACTGATGACATGAAATAAAACATCACATATTCAACTTCCAAGTGTACATTTCTGGAACCACTTTGTACCAACATTGACTGTTACTTGTCATGTATTACATATGATTAGGCTAACCACTTGTTGTGTTCAGGCACATGTTTTGGGTAGCTTTTAACATAAGATCCAAGTTAGCACATTTCACACCTGTAAATAAGCCCAGTGTATTTTTCCAGTTTCATACCAGCGTCCTGTCAGTGTGACACTGGCCTAAACATGTTGGCATATATTCATGTTGGACACACTACCGACCAAGGTGAATCTTCAGTGATAGTGCTGAATATATAATAGAATGCTTCTATTCTTTACTGACATCCTCGATTTAGGGTATGCTACTTAAAGTTTCTTCAATCACTCAGAAGAGTATTTTTCAGCCAAATGTATGCAAAATTGCATTGTCATTATTTATTTAGGTGAGAGAAAATCTTTTGAAGGTGATGTTAGTGAAATGAAAGTGAGTGAATTAGACACCATCTGTACAGTGTGTAGTTGGGAGGAAGACTTCCTCATCCTAACAATGAATGTTGAACCTGCTGTCTAATATACTCGGCCTATTTACATGATATTCCCATTGTGATGATATACATCATACTCCCATTATGATGATATAAATCCTATTCCCATCATGATGATATAAATCGCCTATTATGATGAATAAATCCCATTATGATAATATAAATACCTTACTCCCGTCATGATGATATATGTCGTACTCCCATTGTGATGATATACATGATACATCATTCTCCCATTATTTAGATGATGATTGTTGATATGATACGCAGTGAATTATTTGATGTTTAAACAGGAAACATGTATTTTGTATGAAATGTCAGCTTTATAGGCATGATGTCAGAAAGGAGCCAGCTGACTCTCTCGCTGTATTTATAGTGCTTATTTGGTATAGTGCTATGTGTAAATCTGCCCAACTGATGCATTGTACTCCAATCATGATGGCATACATGGTACTCCCATCATGATGATATACATCATATTCCAGTCATAATGATATACATCTTACTCCCATCGTGATTGTCAACATACTTGGACCTCTTCAGGCTTATAGATATATGTTCATATTGGACACTCAACTTACCAAGGTGACCCTTCAGGAATGATGTGGGGTACATTAGTGGTGTAACAAAATGGCAATGCGGTATTATATTGCGATGCGAGGGTAATGATAGAATAGATCGATTTGCACTTCCTGTATTGCAGTATGTATGATCATACATTTCACTACATTATGTTGATGTATAGACGTGTGAATACTAACAGAAATGGTTCAAGAACAGGTATTGTCTGGTTGGCTATATAGAAAATCTGAAATATCAGGATGTGAATCATATTGAAGCCCATGTTATCGGGATGCATATCATATCATAGCCTCATCGTGTCATTACACCTGTAGTGGTCATGTGGTAACATGTTCAGACTAACCACCACCCACCTAGATAAGATGCAGCAGTGTACCTGGGGAACCTAGGGCTTTATGGTGCAGCATCTGAATCAAGCAAGTCCCTAAATCTGTCCACATCTGTTCTAAGTTCATAACACGAAGTTGAGTTTCTTTCTGAATTGTGACACAGCTCTGTGAGTCAACTTGAGAACCATGGATCACCGTAAAGTGTCAACAAGTTCACTTGATATGTATTCCGAAATGTAGATTTTAACAAGTAAACTCTTAATTATAAGAGTTTCTAAAATTAGGACAGCTGGACATATATTTGAAACCAGGCTGTTTGAACCAGGCTGTGTGCACCAAGCTGTTGGATCCAGGCTGTTGGAGCCAAGCTGTTGCAACCAGGCTTCGGGACCAGGCTGTTTGATCAAGGCTGTTGCAACCAGGCTGTTTGAACCAAGCTGTCCATGCCTATTTGCTGTTGAATGTAGAGTTGTTGTCATGTAATGCTGTTAGACTCAAATATAGTACCTTTACAAACCAAATTGTCCTAGCCAATGTACTTGATGACCAAAGACAACCATGTGCTGTTATGAAGATATAATATGAATGTTTATTTGCCATGGTAGCTTCATGACACTGTGATATCTAACATGTGACTTATATATATATATATTTATATATATAGAAGAAGTTTCTGAAATGATCACATGACACGGATCTTCTCCAACATGTTTCACTTTTATCTTCAGGGAGAAGTGATTACAGTTGCATTGTGACGTCATGACAAAGTGACGTCATAACATAATCCGTTTAACTGTAATCACTTCTCCCTGAAGTTAAAAGTGAAACATGTTGGAGAAGATCAGTGTCGTGTGATTTTTTCAGAAACTTCTTCTTATATATGTACTACTGTACGCTCAGTATTCTATCTGACTGTATAGCAAGTGATGCTGAAGCTGCTCGTGTAGTTGTGACAGAGACCAGGAAGTGTTGTACCTTTCAGCCCATGCCTGGTTCCATTACCTACTAACAGGATAGCTGTAGACTTCCTTCAAACATAGATTTGTAAATGTGAAATGTAGTGTGTAAACAGCCATCTGCAATCAGTATTTAGTCAGATGATCCTTAAATATGCAAACTCTGCTGTTTCTGTGCCATCATTCCACATCTCAGCAAACATGATATTACAGCAAAATGCCGCTAGTGGTTACAGTGTCAGTATCCCTGTGACTGGTTGTGTCGTGGAGGTACGTGAAGAAAAGAAGGTAAAGAGCACCAGTTTGATGAAACTCGACTTCATCAGTGCTGGGTGGGTGGTATTCCAACACACACCCTTCCAGTTATCACTGTCCTTTAACTTGTTTGGAGTAATATGTTTAATATTTCGTGAAAGAAAACAGTTTGAAAACCAAATGAAGATGATGTTGATTTGTGTTTGTATTGAAATGTATCTGTCCTGTTTGGTCTTGTACTTTCCACAAGTGGAAAAATATCAAAGATTTCAACTGCTGTTTCCTTTGGCTTCGTTTACTTTAAACCAAAGTCCTATTGTGTGCATGGCCTCAGTCGTTCTATCAACCTGTTGTGTTATGTACATTCTCTGAAGGCACTGTTATTACTTTTCTATATTTTTAATTGCAATTGTGATATTAGCATTTTAGTCATTATCATATTCAATGTGAAGCTTTTTTCCCCTGTATATTTTCATGTTTTTAGCGCCATTACGGGTATGATCACTGTAATGTGTACTATTTCCAGTTTTTTGGATGTCTGTTTTAACAGCTCTCATCTTTGACTTACCGTAAGATTTTATACTAATTCCATCACTATTGCACATATGATTATATTTGTCTTGTTGATATTTTGATATCATTATCATCGCAAGTTATTGTTACACTGTTGAGCGTAATATCATGGTAGATTGTAGTGTTTATATTGGTTGTAGTGTGTTCACTGGAAACATTTTACCTTTGTTCTACATTGAATATATAACCATAGACAGAGGTAGAAGTCACCACACTATTGAGTAAATATGAAAAGTAGGTCTTAGACATTTACCCATGTGGGTGGTAAATCAGAAATGTAGGTCTTATACATTTACCAATGTGTGCTGTAAATCAGAAATATAGGTCTTAGACATTTACCAATGTCTGTAACACATCACCAAGTGACGGATGAAGAGGCTATCACAACCCAGATGTAAGTTTACTAATAATTACAGACAATACACTTGATTGTTCGTTTTGACAGACCGAGAATCTCGATCAAGCCATATGGGATTTGAGACTATGCTTAATACATCCTGGTCGGTCAAAGGGAGGGTACTTACCCCAGCATGCCCATACTAGCCAGGTAGCCTGGGATAACACAGCTACAGGAAGTGCTGTCCTGCCTGCCTGGACACATTTACAGCTACTTAGTTCCACAAGTCACAATGATCACATCATAGTTCAAGATCACAATGGAGTTCAGTATCACATCGTAGTTCAGCATCACATCGTAGTTCTGGATCACAATGGAGTTTTTGTGGTCTATGCCGGTGGTTTCTCAGTCATTCATGTTAGTGCACTTGTTTCTCTCAGCACATCTCCATCTGTACATCCATGATTCATCAAGTGTTAACGTGTGACATGTCAGATCTAGTTGTGATGGTAGGCAGTAGTAGCACAGTGTGTTGAAAACCCACGTTTCAGTCCAATCATGGACACAACATAGTGTCGAAGTTGGTAGTGATGCTGAATTGTTGCTAAAGGAGAAGCAGGAATAGACTCCACAAGTTGTATGTATACATATTAATTAAGTTTGGACTTAAATAACATTAAGCATAACATTAAATAACATTGAATATAACGTTAAATAACACTGAAGATGACATTCATCATTGGTATTACTTACTGCTGATGTGTTTCAACAGCTTACCAGGAACTAACTTCAATAGATTTATATGAAACCCAGACATTTTCCTAACAAATGTTTTTATCTTATAAGTGATGTTTATATGAGATGCATTAACAGACACTGACTTAAACTCTAAGTCATTTGTTTAATAGATCTGTTGTAGTTGTTTGAATATGTAGACTGACATTAACGCATTCACTGACTTCTAGTCAATGCTACGGCTAGCGATGCAGTTTTGTCTTAAGCATTTACCTACATTAATTCAACATTTGCTCATGAGATCTATATTTTCTTTATTTTGCTCCAAGATGTTTTTGTCTTTTATTGTTTGATTATATTTAATATTTTTTATTTTTTTGTCTATCATGAATAAATGGTTTATTATCACTCTTATTCTGTAATACTTAGTATGTGTCAACAAGAGAACAAGAAGACACTTCACTTTTTCCCTGACATGTCAACAACCCAGTGCAGAACATGGCCTGGATGACTGAAACACCAGCTGTGGGCTGGAGACACTTTGCTTGGTTTGCCCTGTCTACAGCACTGCATCTCGCCATACAGAACATGGCCTGGATGACTGGAACACCAGCTGTGGGGCTGGAGACACTTTGCTTGGTTTGCCCGTCTACAGCACTGCATCTCACCATACAGAACATGGCCTGGATGACTGAAACACCAGCTGTGGGTCTGGAGACACTTTGCTTGGTTTGCCTGTCTACAGCACTGCATCTCACCATACAGAACATGGCCTGGATGACTGAAACACCAGCTGTGGGGCTGGAGACACTTTGCTTGGTTTGCCCGTCTACAGCACTGCATCTCACCATACAGAACATGGCCTGGATGACTGAAACACCAGCTGTGGGGCTGGAGACACTTTGCTTGGTTTTTCTGCTCTACAGCACTGCATCTCACCATACAGAACATGGCCTGATGACTGGAAACACCAGCTGTGGGGCTGGAGACACTTTGCTTGGTTTGCCTGTCTACAGCACTGCATCTCACCATACAGAACATGGCCTGGATGACTGAAACACCAGCTGTGGGGCTGGAGACACTTTGCTTGGTTTGCCTGTCTACAGCACTGCATCTCACCATACAGAACATGGCCTGGATGACTGAAACACCAGCTGTGGGGCTGGAGACACTTTGCTTGGTTTGCCCGTCTACAGCACTGCATCTCACCATACAGAACATGGCCTGGATGACTGAAACACCAGCTGTGGGGCTGGAGACACTTTGCTTGGTTTGCCTGTCTACAGCACTGCATCTCACCATACAGAACATGGCCTGGATGACTGAAACACCAGCTGTGGGGCTGGAGACACTTTGCTTGGTTTGCCCGTCTACAGCACTGCATCTCACCATACAGAACATGGCCTGGATGACTGAAACACCAGCTGTGGGGCTGGAGACACTTTGCTTGGTTTGCCCGTCTACAGCACTGCATCTCACCATACAGAACATGGCCTGGATGACTGAAACACCAGCTGTGGGGCTGGAGACACTTTGCTTGGTTTGCCTGTCTACAGCACTGCATCTCACCATACAGAACATGGCCTGGATGACTGAAACACCAGCTGTGGGGCTGGAGACACTTTGCTTGGTTTGCCCGTCTACAGCACTGCATCTCACCATACAGAACATGGCCTGGATGACTGAAACACCAGCTGTGGGGCTGGAGACACTTTGCTTGGTTTGCCTGTCTACAGCACTGCATCTCACCATACAGAACATGGCCTGAAGACTGAAACACCAGCTGTGGGGCTGGAGACACTTTGCTTGGTTTGCCCGTCTACAGCACTGCATCTCACCATACAGAACATGGCCTGGATGACTGAAACACCAGCTGTGGGCTGGAGACACTTTGCTTGGTTTGCCCTGCCTACAGCACTGCATCTCACCATACAGAACATGGCCTGGATGACTGAAACACCAGCTGTGGGGCTGGAGACACTTTGCTTGGTTTGCCCGTCTACAGCACTGCATCTCACCATACAGAACATGGCCTGAAGACTGAAACACCAGCTGTGGGGCTGGAGACACTTTGCTTGGTTTGCCGCCTACAGCACTGCATCTCACCATACAGAACATGGCCTGGATGACTGGAAACACCAGCTGTGGGGCTGGAGACACTTTGCTTGGTTTGCCCGTCTACAGCACTGCATCTCACCATACAGAACATGGCCTGGATGACTGAAACACCAGCTGTGGGGCTGGAGACACTTTGCTTGGTTTGCCCGTCTACAGCACTGCATCTCACCATACAGAACATGGCCTGGATGACTGAAACACCAGCTGTGGGGCTGGAGACACTTTGCTTGGTTTGCCCGTCTACAGCACTGCATCTCACCATACAGAACATGGCCTGGATGACTGAAACACCAGCTGTGGGGCTGGAGACACTTTGCTTGGTTTGCCCGTCTACAGCACTGCATCTCACCATACAGAACATGGCCTGGATGACTGAAACACCAGCTGTGGGGCTGGAGACACTTTGCTTGGTTTGCCCGTCTACAGCACTGCATCTCACCATACAGAACATGGCCTGGATGACTGAAACACCAGCTGTGGGGCTGGAGACACTTTGCTTGGTTTGCCTGTCTACAGCACTGCATCTCACCATACAGAACATGGCCTGGATGACTGAAACACCAGCTGTGGGGCTGGAGACACTTTGCTTGGTTTGCCCGTCTACAGCACTGCATCTCACCATACAGAACATGGCCTGGATGACTGAAACACCAGCTGTGGGGCTGGAGACACTTTGCTTGGTTTGCCTGTCTACAGCACTGCATCTCACCATACAGAACATGGCCTGGATGACTGAAACACCAGCTGT